AGAGAGAGAGAGAGAGAGAGAGAGAGAGAGAGAGAGAGAGTTTTTAAAGCCAAAGACCATTCAGTAAACTTAGAGTTTGGTTTGAAATTAGATGTCACAAAGCTTATTTGAGGAGTGAAAATGCTCAAATTCCTGTCAGGCTTCCTGACCCTGAGTCACATATATGCCTACTGCTGGTGACTGACATGCCCAGTACCCCTTCACAAAGATTCAAGCACTTGTTGGAACATGCTCACTCGGTTCAGGCTATAAAGAGGAGGCTGCCTACTGAAAGGATAAACCTCCCAGCAGGAGCTGATCCCGTAGACCTGTAATTTTATTGAGGTAATCCCCCCATAAAGAAAAGAAAGGAGGAACACACTGGAAGAAACAACTCCTCGGTTAAATTCTCTTAGCAGAGACTCAGATCAAAAGAGGATTGCACTACAATAAAGGGTCAGCGCTCACTTTCATCAAGGTTGAAGCACTTCAGTAAGAATGTGTCAAACCTCTAAAAGCACAAAAGGAGACATTGAAGGAAAAAAAAAAAAAAAAAGGCTTTCATAAATCAAAGCTTTACTGACAAACATAAGATGCATAATTTCCGCGTGCTGTATAAATGCTTCATGAAGAGGTACAAAAGACACCAATCATGCATGTCCATGACTTAAGACCCTCACGTCATGAATTATTACACAAACGGACGCAGTGCTCCCTCTGCTTTGCTCTGTACTGTGATAACGCGGCTGCCTTCGCGGGGAGAAGACTGATTTAGTTGTGAAACCTTGCCGCCGCTACAGATGCAGCGACAAACCCCAGCTCAATGGCTCATTAAAAACCAAACACATCTCTCTCCGTTTCCTTCTCTTCTGGCGAACAGGGAGTCAGTGAGCAAGAAGACATCTCCATTAATGTCTCATTAAACCTGATGTGTCCATGAAGGGTGTTTGGAGGTCTAACTTTCTTAATTAGCCAACTTTTTTTTCATTTTGCTATAAATGTAAGCATTTGCATATGTGTTTGACATAAGTATCAACACCTGGTTAAGCTCATATAACCTTGCACGCTCTTCCCCTAAAGTCCAAATGTAAAGGGAAAAATCTGCATCGGTTATGTGGATGTCCAATCAGTGTTGATGGTAGATGTAGTCAATTGAAGCAATAAATTCCTAAGTGCATGCTATATTGAGAGAGAAAGCTGAGAGCTGCTGGAACCGTGTCGGCCTTGACTACATGTACCAAGATGCATTGCGCTCAAACTACTGATGCCCAGCCAAAACGTAGTGTAGCTGACGGTTATGAGCTATGCCTGTAGCCTACTTATGCAGGTAATAAAACAACACAGATGCACCGTAGTCCGAACCAATGCGAACCAAGAAGGCAACAACTATACTATTTCTTATTTTCCACATTGTCAACAGCAGCGCATTACAGCTTCACTCCCTCCGTTTTTACCTTTCACAATAACAGCCCAACTCAAATTTACTCAGCATTTTGCAAAGAAAACTTCCACGTATAGTAACACACACTCTCAGGGTTGGCGTCGGCGTCAGCATCCAACATAAATTGCCCACGCTGACACAACACACAACACAATGATTTCCGTTTCTGTCGGCATTTGAGAGCAATTGGAGGTAAGACACCACCAGTCGGTGTTTGCTCGCAGCAGTACCGATTCTGGAGGGTCCCCATCAGCCGTAGCCTCGGCCCCGCTGCATCTCTTTGGCTGAATATTCTGGCTTGAATAAATACGGTTGAACATCCGAGTCAACACTGTAAAATGTATCCTCGTCCATAACATCTTCTGCACTCGTATTTTGTGATGCCATTTTCGCTGTTGAAAATGTAGCTAGTTTGCGACACGTGTTTTTGAGCGGCGTCCTGAGCACACCCCTTGGCTACCAAAGAAGTACAAAGTGAAACAGCCTTTGGTTCTTCCCCGCCTCCAGCTACTTCACTGTCAAATCAAATGACGTCACTGGATGCAGTTTGCAGCTGTAAACTTTCTTGGTCAATACAGCACGCACTGAGGAATTCATTCACTACATTTACCATCAACACTGATTGCACATCCATATAAAAAAGGTGGCAAATTTTCCCTTTAATTACTTATTTATGTACTATTACTCCTGCCACCATAACCTCATTTAATTATGCCTTCTTGTTTTCCACATCTTTTGCCCAGAACTCAACCTGCCCTTGTATGTTTTTCCACTTGTAGCTGAAATCTACTCTAATCTTACTTTATTTCAAGTAGCTGACGATGTTCGGGTTTGATGACCCCCCTGGTTAAATACTTTCCATCACTTTAAGTCTGTCAACAAGTGTCACCAGGTCCTACAATCCTCTCACACTTTGCTGCCTGAGCTCCCGTCGTTGTTGCAGACAGGGTGAACTATCAGACACTGCAGCGACAGCCATCCCTGCTTAACAAAGACTCAGCACTGAACAAACACGGGGCCAGCGTTTCAGCTCTGAAGGCAAGAAAAAGAAAAAAAAAAAACATGGCAGGACTGAGTGAAGTGACCGTGAATGAGCGTCAACAGAGCAGCTGCTGTAAAGTGCTGCAAATTTCACAGCGAGGCGTATGGATATTTAAGTAGGATGTGGAATTCAGTGGTCCCTTTCCTCGGCCAGAGCAAGAAACAGACATCTATGAACACAACAGAGGATTGAATTTCCAGCTAAGTAACCCCCAAAAGATTACGAACTAAGGTTGTATTGTGCATCCCAAAACTCACTTCACTCCCCCTTTATTTCTATGTAGCCCCTTTCCCTCAAATGCTACAGAGCCATCCATCATTAACGGACTGGGGCCAGAACCTGGGCCTTCATCTCTCTGAAGACCAATAAAAGCCAACGTGTTGACACAATGGCCCTTTTCTCCAGGCCAGGCCCAGCTATCATCCACCGTGTGCAGTTCCCTCTAACTGGCTGCCAAAGGCCTCCAGTTTTTACCATTACTAAATGATGGGAAGCAGAAAGAAAAACATCCTTTCATAAGGAGGTGGATGGGAAAGCTAATGAGATGGGGGGGGGGGGGGGGGGGAGAGAGAGATACTAGATCATATGCACCCCGATCCACTAAAACAATCCGCTGACCCATAAAACATAACTATATGTAGGAACTAATAAAAACGATCACAGCTTTATCGGCACAGACCTGGACAGTCCAAAGTCTTGGAATTGAGAGGGAGCCTTTTCAAATAGCTAGCTACCAGACTGGATATGAGTTTTCACACAGCTCAACACAGACGGGCGTCATCAAAACTACTGCACTTGTGGTTAAAAAAAAAAAAAAAAAGGGAACACTGCAATTGACCAAGAAAACAAGTGGGAGTGTTCCCTCTGCAAAGGAGCCACAACTTTATCCTCACCAAGAGAGGCCGTGACCTCTGCACCCACCACTAAGAGCTCATGTTGTTGCCAGAAGCCAATAAATCCCTTTGTTGTTCAGTTCGCTCAATAATAACCTGTATGTTAAAGAAAGAGTTTGGCATTTTGGAAAACATGTTCACAACTGCTTTCTTGCTGAGAGTTCGATGAAAAGATTGATACCACGCTCATAGCTCATTTATATTAGTATAAAGATTGTTTGTTTATTCCATAAAAAACTTGCAATAAAACCGTGTTTTTACACGTCTGTTTTTGTACAGACTGTTTCCATTCTTTGTTCTAATTATTTTAATGTGACCCACTGAGGTCATGTTGAGCATTTTGAGCGCTCACTTTTCTATTCTTACCTAAAGAGAACACCAGCATGAACCTTGGGGATAAAGTGCCCACAGCAAATTATTCTTTGATCTCTTGAAGCAAAATCAATTTCTGTCATTAAGTCGGTGGAACTTCAACTTAATATGTGAGATCTGCCGCAGCACCTCCAGGACATTGCATTAAGTGCATGGTCACAACACACAGCCACCTTTTTGAAAACCAGCAGGTCAGGACAACAGAGAAGGTGAAAGCAAATAAAGATTTACTGATGATGGCGACTCCTGAGGGTGTGGAGAGAGATTGATTGGAGCTCAAATCACTATTTCAGCCAGTGGCGTTAAAATTTTAACTCCATCGCTTGTCAAGTCAATTTATTTATTTTTATTTTTATAAATATATATATATATATATATATATATAGCGCCAACTCACCACAGAAGTTATCTCATGACACTGTTCATGTACAACAGATCCACTCTTTCATTAACAGAGAGCCAACAATCCCCCAAGAACAAGCAGCGCGACAGCAGCAAGGAGAACTTCCCTTTTGTGAGGAATTAACAAGCCGCATACCAGCTCTTACTACACTGCACAAAAAACAACTGAAAACATATCTTCTGACATGAAAGCATCTGTATGATGCACAAAGGACCTTCAGGCTCTGTAGGTCTGCCCTCCTGAGCTAAACTCTCCCTACCAAGAAAAGAAGCAACAGTAAACTTTCAACAGCAGGACGTTTTAACATCACAGGTGGAACTGCGCAAAAGAAGTTAACATGGGTGCTCCAGCTAAAATGCAGACGTACAAGATCCTGGAACAAAAGATCCAAGGAGGCCACAAGTTCTTCACCGCAGAGCTGCAAGCTCTCTTAAACCTGAGAACCATGTAGTGGAGAGACTGAAACAATGGGGCTGAAGTAGTGGACGGCATGCCAAGGGTTTATGGTCTGCTCTGAGTGCTTAGGGTAGAGAAAAGAGGGCTCGCGGTCCACGCTGAGATGCTGTCATACGTCTCAGAGGGGAGACGGTCCCTGCTTTGCTCGACGCTGGCTGGAGAACATTAAGAAGCTAGTGTTGGTTGGTTACAAATTGAAAAGAAGGGGCCTAAGCATGGAGCCACCACACTATTAAAGCAGCATTCCTTCCTCTTAGATAATGGGCCCTTAAA